TGTTATATATATATATATGTGTATGTATATATATTTTTAAGGGTATTTCCTGTATTACTATATTTCTTGTTTTCAGTGTCATGACTGGAGAGCAAAGGAAATGTCAATACTACAGTGAATACTATGCAGTTCAGAAAGGATGTTCATTTTTTTAAGAAAAAAAGTTAAATTAACCTTGACTGTGCTTCTAAATGTGTGTGTGACAGCCTTTTGCTGTTAAAAATAAATGAGCTTGTGAGATGGTGGAGGGTCTCCAGGGAGGTCTACAAGTATCAGGAATGGCCAGTACTGCTTATATTCTCTTTTACTAATAACAGTAGCGTAGAAATAATAAGGAATGCTGTGACATTGGGTTTTCTAAAGCTTGTTTTCCAGACACCTGGGGATGTAGGGCGCTCTGATAGCGTGGCATTTGACTTGCCTTATTAACTTCCTGCTTCTTAGGAGATCAGATTTTGTTGGCGCAGACTTGAGATCATGTAAGAATCTGATACAGGGGGACACTAGTGGTGTTGAGTAGTTCTCTGCCCACCATTCCGCCCATGGAAGTGACCCTCTTCCAGCAGAGCCCACTCTATGAAGTATGGGTGGGGTTTTTTTTCCCCTCCCAGCCCTGGCCTTTGCAGACAACTCTGCTGACATTTGTTTGAGTGCAGGAATGGCTGCTCTGCCAACAATCACAAGTTCAACCATAATTTGTACTAAATTATGTTAGTAACAAATATTCAGTGCTCGTTGACAGTGTTTTGAATGGTTAATGTTTCAATTGCCAGACTTCAGAATCTTGTGTCAGTGGCCTTAAAGCTTCCTTTGTTTGCGAGAGCGTCAGTTTTAACAAAGCTCTTTGAAGAACAGAGATCTCATGTTATGCTCGTGTTCTCTGTAGCTGCGCCTATGACAGACTGTGTCACCAGAAGCCTGGACTGATTCAATGGAGAGTCAGTGGAGGATAGCCTCGTAGCTGGAGGTTCTGGTCACAGTGCTGTTCCACAGAAATAACCATTGCTGAACGTGAAGTTGGCAGTGATGAGTGGGATCTGTGTGGGATGTTCTAGCTATGGTGTGCCAGGTAAGTGCAGATGGCAGAATAGTCTTACTTGGTCATCTTTCCCAAGGGCCTCTCAGAGATAGCTGTGATCTGGATTAAGTGCTGAGGTAGCAGTTGGTTGCTGTCTTCCTCAGGAAGTCTGTAGTAGAAAAAGGAGTAAGTGGTACTGCAGCATGGGTGTGGGTTGCAAATATTTGTTCAGGGTCTATTTAAATTTAGGCATTATTAATTTGGACTAAGGGACTATAATCCATTTTGTCCCCTGTTAAATAGGGAATACTGTAAAGCATTAGAACTGTGCAAAGCACTTGTCAAATGCATGGAAAGAAACAAAGCAAGTGGTAGATAAAATTTTTTTCCTAAAAGATTTCTTAATTCCTCATAAGGGATAATTGTACTTGGCTGTCTACCAGTAAGCTTCCCCCATATGTAGATGAGTAGTTTGTGAATCATTTGGGTCATCGAGTAATCTCTGTAGGTAAGGAAGGGTATAAAGTAACTTAGGATTTTGAAGTAAGAGTAGCTTTAGTACTTAGGCTTGGTTCTTGAGTTCTGCTTCATAAATCTTGCAACTGCTTTGTTTTAGGGAGATTCTAGTTAGTTCATGGGTATAATGTTATTGAAAGTGGCTCATGCTAGTTAGAAATCATAAAAACCCCAGGGTTTTAGCTGTTCTAATGGTAGAATCAAAGTAATTTATCTAAGGAACATAATGCATGTGTTTTGGGTTGTGTTTGTATGCTGTATAATGCAGCATTTGTCTTGAATTCCTTGTTCCAGTCTGACTTCTTACATTGCTTTAGCATAAGAGGTGGCTTTTCATAGGCTTCCCTCCACCCCTTGCCGTGTTAAATAAACATAAAAATTACCTGTATGTGTAGTTCTGCAGCTTGATAGTTAACTTTGCATTTATGGCTACTAAAGTTATGTTCAGGATTTCCGGTCTTCCTGGACCACCACCGTGGTGACGTGCTCTCCTTCATCATGCAAGACATCTGACACTTCTGTGTTGTGATCTGACCTGTAGGAGTGGGGCATGTCTTCCTCCTTTAGCAGGAGGGTGTAAAAGAAGTGAGAATTCACCTTATCCCACATCATGGATATAATGTGTAAATTGGGGAACTTTATAACCTGAACCTTAAGACTCTAGAGCAGTCCTCACTGGAGAGAGAGAGGCATGTAGGAAGTCTCTAGTTAGGCTAAACAAAATCTTATCTATGCTTTAAGTACATTTAGTATTGCTACTTAACAGAACTGAAGATACGTGTTTGCCGATGTAAATGCTTTGAAGAGCCCTAGTAGATCAGTGGGGAGTAGGTACTGCTTAAATAACTTGTGCAGTGACTTTACATTGCAAGCACAGGTACAATATAGCACTTTAACTATACTTATTGTAAAAATCAGTTTCCAACAGAAGATAGTGTGAAAGTTTAGATACTACCTGTGCTGAAAAACATGTGAATGTGTCAGTGAATAACTCTAGCTTTTCAAATAGTCATTAAATAGTTTACAAGTATCTAACTGTGCCATCTTTCTTTATTAATACGAGGAGGGTAAATTGAACAGACTAAGGTAGACAGAACCACTTTTATCCTTACTGTAAAAGCAAGGGACAGTGATTGTCATATAATATTTGATGGAGTATTTTTTTGTGAAAAGCCGGGTGGATGCCAACTTTGTTTCTATGCTGTCACTTAATATGTGATTCCACAGTGTCCCTTAGTGAAATGTAATTATTTACAGGCATGGACCAAGAAGGTGTTTAAAAAAACCCAAACCAAACAACCAAACCTGATACTAGCACTAGCTCTGAAACAATCAATTTTAACTGTGTAGAACTGTTACAGACTTTCTGAAGTTGCATCATCTTAACATGAGTATTTAGTAAAAAAAAAATCTTAGATAATAATGCAGTATTTTAATGAGTTTTGTTTGTGATGTAGGTGTGGATTTGATTTACAGCTAGATGAAAGATGTTAAATTGGTAACTTCAATTTACCATGGAATGTAAACATTTTGAGACAGGAAATCAGTTTGCTGATGGCTGAGTTCAGTAAACTACCTTGAAACCTCTCTCGCTAACCTTAAAACTTCTGCCTTCTTGTCAAGGCGTTGAACCACGGAGTCTAATTTTAGATGCTCAGGCTTGAAAAATTTGCTTAAGCAAATAGCATTCTATAAAACTAATTCTCGTATACCAATAGGCTTGTACATGACTTCTGTTTTTAAAGTACTCTTAAGTTCACTGCATTTCTTGGGAAAATACAATTGTTTATTTTTATTCAAGTGTTTCAAACGTTGAGTGTCTTAAATCTTTTTTTTAATGAAACTTAAGCTAAAATGTTACTGCCTAGTGTTCTAATCAGTATCCAACTTTTAACTAAAAATGTGGAAATTTTTTTAACACAGGATCAGCATTGTCTTCTTGCAGGTACAGTGTGAATTTACATGTCAGGGTGAATTTGCAAGCTAAATGCACAACAATTTTTTCCCCCACTATACTTAGAAACTCAAAGTGCTAAAAATATTCTTTAAAAGTTGAATAGAAAGTGTTAGTATTTGGAGCATCAGATTTTTGTCATTTGTTTTGATGGATAACAATTTATAGTTAGCGTTCTTGGAATAATCATTACTAGTCGTCTTAAATGGGATGTCAGTGATTTTTTTTTTTTATTCCTAAAAGCAATCTGAACCAAATTTGTAATTAAAGCAAAGTAACAAATACAAGCAATAGAGCTAACTCATCAGTTGATTTGCCAGCAATTTGTTAGCCCTGTATTACATTCCTGGAAAGTTTACCCCAATTTCCTTTCAGGAAACTTTCTTCCAATACCCATAACAACAAAATTTTATATTCTTTGATATCTCATAGTTAATGTATATTTTTTTTTTAAGATGGTATTCCAAAAATCCAAGCCTGATTAACTTGAGTGTTAAACTAACCCCATTGTATTGTCCGAGTTAGCATCTCCACTGTTTGGCATATGTGGGATGCAATGTTCTTGTTTCCATTGAGCAAAACACGGCTTGATTTTAATTGTAAGTATTTGTGGGCAAAAACAGTAGTTAGCATGTATTTAAAGAAAGCAAGCTTTTTCTTGTACTGGCACTGTTGCTCAGCAGGGTTTTTCTCTCTGCTTGCAGGTTTTGACTGAACTGGGTTTGACAATGTCAGGCTTTGGCAGCACAGGTGACTTGGGTTTCTGTTAGCCCTGCTGTAGCAGTCTGTGGTGTGGATGTGAGAATGGTGCCAATCTCTACTTAAGGCAGAGCTGCTGAAGTTTTGGGTTATTGCATTAGTAATGGTATCTCTCATTTGAGAGCACAATAAATGCATTGTCTTTTTGCTTTTGTTGCTGTTACTCATGCAGTGTTCAGGAGGAGGAATGCAATAGACCTGTGGATGGAGGGGCAAAAAGTAAACTAGAAAAAAGATGCTGGGAAAACAGGAAGTGTAGGTTAAAGCAAGCAAAAAAGATTCTGAACTTGGGTGTTTAGCTTGAAGAAATCTAGTTGTTGGGTAGAAGTTGTAATAAAAATAGGTTGGAGTGAGGAGTTGGAGGGAAAGCAAGCTACAACAGAGGGGCCCAAAATTGAGAGAGAAAGGGTAAAGGCAAGGATGAACAAGTTTGGGGAAGCATTTTAGGATTTAAAAAAAGTCTAATTATGTTTTCATAAATTTCCATGGAAAGGATCAGAGTGAGTTTCCATGTGCAGTTCTAAACATTGGTCTCCCCTAAAGCTCAATTATTTGATTTTTTGCATGCTGAATATTATTTTGAGATGAGTTTACACAGCCTTAAGTTGTAGGCAGTACCAAAATGAGTGCATTTTAACGATGGCTCCTGAGTTTAAAATTGACTGACTTCTGGTGGTAATGCTAAAATGATTGTATGATGACAGATTTCCTGATTACTGACTAAATACTTCTTGCTTCTTCTTTTAGACGGGGCTTGAATCCACCCCACAGAGTGAAGTCCATTTCAATGACTACTTTCACACAACAGGAAATAGAATTTCTGCAGAAACATGGAAATGAAGTAAGTATTATTGGGAGACTATCAAGTGATTTTGGCACTTTTAATATTAAAACTTTAGAACACTACTTAAGGAAAACTTAATTTTTTTTTTGTAGCAAAAAGTAGACAGAAGTCTTTTGAAGCCAACATCATTTGAAGTGATGCTTCTAAAGAGCTCATTTCACTTAAGTAGCTGATCGTCATAATGTTACGTGTTATTGCCCAACCCGGGCAATCTAGATTCACATGAGCAGTGTTTCTGAATTAGGTTTTCTTTTGCCTTTTGCGTAAGGCAATATGCATCTGTCTTTGTTTTTTTCTGCAAGTCCAGACCTTGAGACTGACTGCAGCAGTGTTTCCTGAAAGAGCATACCGTGACAGAAATTAAGTTGTTGCTTGTAGCTGTATTCAGAGTAGGTGTCAGAAAGTCTTCTAGTAGTTTCACTAGCCTCTTTCTTTAATGAAAGTGTATCAGTGTTGAAGGCTCTTGAAGAGAGGAAGAAAAGGGAGAATTTTTTCCTCTAAGGTTTGTTATCTAATAAGTGTCTATATGTTTAGAGTGGCTTGGGGCAGCTTTGAAGACAAAAAGTTCTGGTATACTGCCTTTTTCTTCTTTTCAATAGAGGAAAACTAAATCTGAGGTAAATGTTGGATTGGCTCTATGGGGACACATGGAGCATGTAAACCCTGGGTGTCGCTGTTGCTGTCTTCGATTTGAGGATGAAATTTGTATTTTAACACCATATTGTAGCATTGAGGACTTTAGAGGCAGCTTTTACTTCTGTTCTGAATTAGAAAAAAGTTCTATTTCACTTTGATTGGATCTGTATTCTGTTTTAGTAGAACTATTGATTGTAGGCTACAGTGTCTTATCAACATGTTTTTGTGGGGCTTTGTGAGGATAAATCCCATCATTAGCTAGAATGCTGATACTTAACTTTCTCAAACTTGGCCCATTCATAAGTGTCAGGTTGAAGAATGAAAATAGAAGTAGCAATTTCTTTTTCTGTCTTGGTAAATGTGTTATTTGTCAGAATGACTGTTTGTGAATGATTCCTCTAGACAGACCTGGAACAAAGTCCAAATTCTGCCAGACATTATAAAATACTCTTAATGGCTTTGACTAGTTTTTGGGGCTTTTTTGAATTGTTTTGGCATGCTAAAGCTGTATAACATTGTGTATATATGTAGATACATGTATGTATATATGTGTATACTTATTGCTGACTTTTGCATAGGGAGAATAATAAAGAATCTTTCATCAGATATAGTACGTTGGAGTCTCCATAAGACTGTAAATGCTAGCTTTGCTTTAAGCTTCACAAGTGTAAAGGAAAACGTGTGCACGTCCCTCTCTCCCTGCATCTGTTTTAATTTCATTTTACTGAATCTGCAACGGCTTGAATGCTACCAGTTTCATTTTTCACTGATCTGAAACTCTACATGATCCCTACTCAGTTGATTAGCATAGTTGTCCTTCTCATTATAGACCTGACTCGTCTGCCAATCATAATGATTTAGTTGATACATAATTTGTTATTGACATAAAAAGTTCACAGATCTCTGGAATGCTATACTGTGTTTCAAAAGCAGGTGTCTTTGGGTTTGTAGTAGTTATTCCTTTAAGTATTGCAATGATTTAAATGAGCTACCTCATAAAGGAAGATGTTCTCCTGAGTTTATTTTTGGGTTGTTGGATGGCAGTGCATTGCCTTCATTCTAAAGTAACACTGAAGAGATAATTGCAGATGGTAGATTTAACAGATGCTCAAATACTGAAGTGATGTTGTTTTAAACACTGCTAGAAGTTTAAAACTTAATTAAACATGTTTTCACTTTGTCATGCTGTATGTTGCAGTAGTTAAATAAACATTTTGCTTTCTCTTGTCGGTATTGGACTTTGGAATACTCACCTGCAGATGAGATAAAGTATTGGGCAGATGAAGTTCATCTGACCTCACAAAAAAACCTTCTTTGCTCTTCAGCATAGGTGGCTCTTGTGTATATATTAAGAAATGAAATTTTCTAGAATAAAATTTTTTGAGCATGGAACTGTCCAACATTTTAGAATGTGGATATGTGAAACAAAGTACAGTCACTGAATGGTTTAGATGTTGCAACATTCACTTGTTTTAGTTCTGTGTGTATATACACACATTCAACTTTTTGCAATCAAGTATGTTTAACTTCCATCTTTCTGTAGCTTGTAAAATATTTTCATTCCTACTTTGTCCTCCCAGTCTTTTTCCAATGTGGCCAAGGCCTCTGTGGTAAGCTTTTTTGCTTCCAGATGAGTAGATCATGGTATACAATAGGGAACTTGTTCTGAATAGAAAGGGAAATAGCAAGAAAGCTTCCCTGACATAAGGTAATTATTAAGGTGCTGAATTGTTCTTAGAGGAAGTAGTTTTCCACTGTCCTTCAAAGAGTATTTTTAAGGTCAACATATTGTCAGAGGTTGAAATTCTCTTTAAAAAAAAAAAATTCCTAATCTCTGCAATAGTAATTTTTCCCCAGTTGTCACAAATCGCCATCTTTGTGGCACGTGTGGGTAAAACATTCAGTTACTAAAAGGCTGCCAGAAAGCAGCTGCTTTGGGAGAAGATTATTTAGAGCAGCTTCTCTTCAGGTGTGACACCATCTCCTTCCCTGTATATATACCTCCAAGCAATGACTTTCTGGCACAGGAAACTTGAACTTTTTTTTGCATGAGCGTTTACTGCTTCAAATACAGATTTACATCTTTTTACTGTATTAGAAGACATCTGTATTTTGGTGTTACTTGCTCATCTGCAGGTATAAACAGATGTCCAGACTGGTTTTGCTAATGTTGGGATTAGCTCACTTTTGCAACAAGCATAGAGACATCTTCAAGCTGATACTCCTCAAGTGCCTTCTAAGCCTTTTTTGAGGGTAAAGGCAGTTCTGACTCACTGGGTAGGATTTTCCCCCTCCTCGTTCTCTTCATGAAGAGCAGTGTGAGGTATTTTCACACTGTATTTTCATGTTAAGAATAATGAGGAGAGAGTGGTATAGAGATGATTCTGTTTGAATACTCATAATCAAATGATGCTTAACACTGATTAGGCCTCTGATTCACTAGTGCAATGATAGTAGAACATGAACTGCCTGCTGAAAGTGGAGGTGGTACTCATCTCATGTGGCCATTATAGCTGTGAATATTTATTCAGAAGCTTTCCCCTGAAGCCGAAAAAAAGTATTATAAGGCAAACCAGTTACATAGTCAATTTTTCTACTACATTTTTTTAAAAGTGCCATATACTTTCCAAATAGCCTATTCTAATATGCATATGGTAGAAGAAAATTAATTGGATGGTCTTGTATTTGGAAAAATCTGTGTTCATCTAAGGGCAAAGATCACGTTTACCTGAGCTAATGAGTAGAATGCTATGTGGGTATGCTCAACTGCTTGGGATTAGCTTATCTGTGCTTAATTTTCGTTTTGTGCCAGTCTTCCTGCCTCTTGATAGCACCTGTGGAAGTGTTTCTTACTGGTTTCCTGCATGCTAGGTTCCAGCAGAACCTACAATTGCAGGACTAGCAGCAGTATGGGGCTGATTCAGGACTGGTGTTTGACCTGACCAAAATGCTTTCCTAGAATCTCCTTTCCTATGGAATGTGGCCTAGAAACCCTGGAGTGGAAAGAGCAGTACTAAGCTGGAGCTGATGAGTCCTGACAGCATGAGCTGTGCAGTTAGGTGTCCTTGTAGTACATCCCTGGTTCGGCTAATATGATATAGAGGTACATGAGCTGATTGTGTATGGAACAGTGTCTTTGTTAGCAGGATTTACTAGCTTGAACTCTGTGCTTGTGAAAGCAGCTATAGCTTCTGGACCCAAACTGGCTTTGAAATTAGTATACTGGCAGTATAAAATTCTTTTAACCTACAGAGATTAATGAATAATATTGACATCAGAAGTGCTGAATTACTAAACAAAGCTATAACTTGCTTACATAAGGGAACTGTTTCCAAATCTTTCTTCCTGTGGTGAGTGTTATGTTTTGGAACATATTTTTGTTGTGTGGTAATCTGTAGTTCTTTGCACTGTCAGCATTGCATTTAGTGCATAACTGGCGATATTTTATCAGGGAGGAGGGGGAGAAGAAGAAATTTAATTTGGCTTTTACCAGACTACTGAAAGGTAATATCTCATTAGAGCTTTTTAAACTAGACTGACATGTAATCTTCCTATGTGGTGGTATGTCTGGGTCTAAACAAGAAGTGCTGTATTGCTGTAGGTCTAGTAGTGTGTTTTTTCTAGTTAAAGTGCAGCTTCTACCAGCAGAAGTACTTGTCCTACTGTAGTTTTTCCTTGCTGTGCTGCCTTCACTGCATACAAGGGAAGGCAGCTTCATGGGCAAAAACTTACTTTTGCTGGCCTAACTGAATTTTTATTATTCCTAACTAGCATAACTATGCTACCAGGAGTTTCTAAAATGTGGTGGCTGACTGTGTTGTGTAAGCAGAAGGCCTTTGTCTCTCCCATATCCGCCTTCCCACACACACTGGAGATCTGTATCAGTGAAATAGTTACAACTTGGTGAAGTGTTGTTTGGTAGTTGAAATATGTAGCACTGGAATAGAAATAACTGAAATCTCAGATTGTTTCAGGCTTTCTGCAAAATTTGATGGATACTGCTGAGTTTTCTTCTTTATTAGCAGTTTTTCTGTGTGCCTTTCCTTCCCTATCTTCCCAACTCTGTAAAAGCACACACAAAAAAACCCCTGAAACATGACAACAAAACTAGAAGCAAAACCAAAAGCTTTTTCCCTCAGATAGAATAGCTGTTGGGTGCAGATTCAGGGAAACCAATGGTATGAAGAGAAATATAGGTAAAGACTTTATTATAACATACAATATGCACTTGGCCCAATTTCTACTTTCAAAGATATATTTAAGTTATGGCAACTCACAGTTTCTGCCTTGCTACCTCCTGGGTTTTTATTTAGGTCAGGGTGAGTAGGTTGAAGCTGGTTGTGATTCTCTTTC